AGAGTCAGTTCTATAGGAAGACATAGTAATCCTAAACGTGTGTGATCTAACAACATAGTTTCAAAATATTAAACAAAATTATCAAACAGAGAAGAAGTAGACAAATCTGCCATCATATTTGAGCTTTCAGTTCATCTCTGTTAGAATTGACAAAACAACAAACAAGGCAATGCAGTAAAAGATTTAAGCAACCCAATTAACCATCATGCCCTAATGCAGAATACGCATTGTTTTCAAGGACACGTGAAACATTCATCAAGAGAGTTACCTAGCAGAGTTGCTGAAGAGGATACTTCTTGTTGAATATGAAGTTGGAAATCTTGAATTTTAAGATCACTTCCACCTTTGAAATTCTAAAATTTATTCTTTTTTTTTAAAGACTATTATATCACCCTCAGTCCAGCGTCCCCATTCTGCATTGATGATGTAATACATCTTCAGTCATTTCCCAAATGAGAAAAAGGAAGTGGAGGCATATTTGCTTTTGTAAAAATGCAGGACGTGGGCTTTTGTCCCTTCTCTTAATGTTATAGTTCTTTTAGATAAACGTCTCTCTTCATCTGCCCCTTCATTTATATATCTCAAGGTAAAGCCTCAACCAAGCTCCTGATACTTGTCCTTCCTACCTCTGAATCACTTCCAATCTCAGCCATCTTAGCCACCATGACCAGCTTCTTGTGCTGAGCTACCCTGCAGGAGTTGACCAAACCTCACCCACAATACACTGCTTCTGTAAATCCATTTTTTTCAATTGTACCCCTATGTTAGGGAAATAACATGCAATATGATGAATTAAATTATTTTAAGAGGACATAGAGACTTTCATTCCCTGCTGAATCACCATCAAATCCTTTGCTCTACAAAAGTCATGTTACCCAACACTGGGAAGCTAGCAGATGTATAGTTTTATAACAGGTGCAAGCCATGGCCCTGGCAAAGTTATTGCATTGAAATCATCAAAGGATGGAGCAAATATTGTCATTGCTGCAAAGACCATCCAGTCACATCCCAAATGTCCAGGCACAATCTATACTGCTGCAGAAGAAATAGAAGCAGCTGGAAGAAAGGCCTTCCCATATGCTATTGATGTGAAAGATGAACAGCAAGTCAACAATGCAGTGGAAAAAGCAGTCAAGAAATTTGGAGGAATTGACTTCTTAGTGAATAATGCCAGTGCTATTAGCTTGACCAACACTTTGGAAACACCTACAAAGAGAGTGGACTTGGTGATGAGTGTGAACACCAGAGACACCTACCTTAAAGAATACATGATCTAAATCATGTATTCTTTAAAAAAAAAGAGTAAAATTGTTCATATTCTCAATCTATGCCCACCCTTGAACCTAAATCCAATTTGGTTCAAACAACACTGTGCTGATACCATTGCTAAGTATGGTATGTTTGTGAGTGTGCTTGGAATGGCAGAATTGAAAGGTGAAGTTGAAGCTGATGCCTCATGGCCTAAAACAGTCATGTACAGTGCTACTATGGATATACTAGATGGATCTGATATTGAAAGCCAATGGAGAAAACTTGAGGTCATTGCAAATGTTGCATATTCCATTTTCAAAAAGCCAAAAAGTGTTACTAAAAACTTTATTACTGATGAAATATCTTTAAAGAAGAAGGAATAAAAAATTTTGATGTCTATGTAATTTTACTAGGCTATCCTTTGTTATCCCAATTTCTTCTTAGATGAACATTAGATGAAGTCTTGAAGAAAAGGGAATCACATGGTGCTGTGCCAGAATTACAGGAAGAAGAGTCATGGCCACAATGAAAACCACATCCTGGAGCTGTGGAAGAAACATTTAGAACTGTTAAGGATTCTCTCAGTAATAATGTTAAAGCCACATGAGCAGTCCATCAGTTTGAACTCAGTTGAAGATGGTGGCACGTGGTTTCTTGATTTAAAAAAAAGAGGCAGGGTAGGAATATCAGACATAGCTCTCTGATCAGGTAGATGTGGTGATAAGTATGACTACTGATGATTTTGTCAAAATGTTTTCAGGGAAACTGAAGCCAACAATGGCATTCATATCAGGAAAATTGAGGATTAAAAGAAACATGACCTTGGCAATCAAATTGGAAAAGCTAATGAATCAGATGAATTCTACACCATGAAGGAAAAGAGACAAAAATGTCGACTGCTGTGTCTATGAAGCAAAGAATCTCAACAGTTAAAATCTATGCTTGTTGTCTTTCCTATTACAAGGGTATGCATGCTGTCCTAGGAAAAGTAGAATTTCTGTGTCTATGAGACTTGAAATTTGTATTAAAACAGCTAGCTGAATCAAACACAGTTTCATCACATGGAATTCTAAGACATGTTCCTTATATTTTGGGGATTTGCCCTATAAGCCTTATGCCTCATTCATTGTCTTTCAGGAAAAGTACATATTATGAACAACTAATCATAGTAAAACAGTAAAATTAGCTCTTTACACAGCTTCTTGTAAAATAAAGCTAGTTTGTCTTCATTAAAGACAATTTGGAAAAGGGATGCTCAACCCATAGTATTTCCCTTCCTTTTTCTTTTTTTAGATCTGTAGTTTTACTGAGCAATATTTTATGGGTTTCAGTGTAGAGTGCTTGTCCACAAAATTTTGCTTAACTTACTCATAAGTATTTCATATTATTGATGCTATTTTAGATAACCTTTTGAATTTCAGTTCTTAAGTATCCTTTGCTAACATACCAAAATATAATTAAAATTTGTAAGTAGGCCTATGTCCTGCAATTGTTAGATTTATTTGCTGGTATTATCATCTTTTTTTGCCGGTTCTTTAAGATTTTTTTAATGTTATCATGTTATTTGCAAATAAAGATAATGTTTTCTCTTCATAAAAATAAGGGGAGACATAGAACCAAGGCAAAAGTATAGGCAAATAACATAAAATAAGAGGTACAATGAATACTCAGAATACATGTTTCAGAGCTGTTTGATTGCCAGAGATAGGTCAAAATTTGGTTCCAAAGAGACTGATGAGTCTAACTAGGTCAAGTCCTTCAGCTGGCTGTGTCAGAGCTTGATTCTCTTCATAATCTACTGATTCTGGGAACTACTAGACTCCTTGGGAGAACATATTCCTCTTCCTGTTCATGTTTCTCTAGCCCCAGACTTCTGTCATTATGTAAAGAATCATCCTGTTAGTGGTTTTGATGCAAAATGTGAAATACTGTAGCAGCAAAGGGTATGGTTCAAGTCTCCCCACATGTACCAGATTCCAGCTATTACCTTATTTACAAAGCAAGAATATGAATTTTGCCTTCCTCATAGGGTCCTTGAAGAGTGTAAATGAGATAATATCTAAGTTATGGGGCTAGAACCAGGAATTAGAGTCACTTACCCATGCTCTTCTCTAGGCTCTTGACTAAGTGAGCAATGTACCCAAGAATCCACAGCCAAATAGCAAATGAACACCATGTGTTAAATTAACAACTAGATGAGTACCTGATTTTCTCCTCCCCTCTCCACCTTTTGGACTTCTCTGATAAGTTACTGCTCTGATAATTTACATGACTTAGAATAAGAAACCTTTTCTTTCTTGCTCCTTCATCTTAATCTAGAAATTCAGATTTGCAGATCAGAGCCTAAATTCACTCATCATGGATAAGAACTTCTGCCTCAGGGTTAGGGCTATAGCTCAATGGTACACACTAGTCCACATAGTCCACATAGCATGTGAGAGGCCCCGAGTTCAATCTCCCAAACCACAAATGCACAAAAAGAATATATGACCCCATTCCCCCAGCAGAGGCTAGAATTACTGTAAGCTGGAAAGATGTCAAACTTGTGATGCATTCCAGCAGACCAGCTGGGTATGCTCACCACCCAGAGATAAGAACTTCAAGAGAGGGCCTGAAATTTCCACACTAAGTTAGGATCAGTGCTTCCCACTCAATTATCCTGCCCTCTAGGAAACTTCAGCCCAGAGGGTGTCTTCAGCTGTAACTAATCAAATTAGCAAGTCATAGCATGAAGACACATAATAAAGGAGATGGACAGAGGGACAAAATTGTGGAGAAGGGAATAAACATTTCTTCCTCCTCCACAGTACATAAAAGATCATGGCACAAAGCTCAACACAGAAAAGATGAGGTAAATCATACACATTCAAAAAGGTTTTCATATGGTTATTATTTTAATGTAAAATCATTTCTCACAGATTTTATACCCAGTAAAATCCCAGCAATTTCAGAAAAAGTGTCATCACACCTATATCAGTTACTTTTCATCACAGTGACAACTACCTGACAGAAATGACTTGAGAAAGGAAGGATTTATTTTGGCTCACTATCTTAGAAGTTTTAGTTCATCATGGTGTGGGAGGGTATGAGAGAGAGAGAGAGCAGCTCACCTGATGGCAGCCTGGAAGCAGAGAGAAAGCATGTGCACAGAAGTGTGTGGGGGGAGGGGTGTGTGAACATGAACTGTATGTATATATTAAGAAGAGCATAATAAATATACTCAACTCTTGACCATGTATAGACACTATCTAGATCCTTATTTTCTCTGTTCCTACCATCATAGAGAACAGAGGAAGAGAAAAATGTGAAAGTAAATTTTTTACTGAAGATGCTTGAAAAAGCACTGAATAAAGTAAAATATAGGAGTTATCTAGTGATTTTATGTATCCATCCTCTTGCCCCTCTCCAATTCCCTATTGTGAAGTAATTTTCAATGCTTAGCTTAGAGCACTGCTAAGATCTAAACTCACAACCTTTCAATATTCCAATATTGGCTCCACAAAATATTATCCCTGTTAACATTCAACCCCTCTATCTTCAGTTAACCCCAACAAAAACTGGGAATATCAACAATGGCATGTTGGTTGTATTGTAAGAATTAAATCATTCGATGTATATAAAAAATAATATATCTAGGTCAAAGTGTTTTAAAAGCTTGATAATGATAATTTTATTCATTTCACATGTCACTGAGTACAGAATTCTATGGGAATCAGAAAAGAAAGTCTTTTTCTTCTTCTATTGTCCAGCTTCCTACGAGAAAATAGACACTGGTATCCTAAAGGTCCCAGGGACAGACGAGGTGAAGCTTACCTGCAAGGCTAGAGGTTATCCCCTGGCAGAAGTGTCCTGGCCAAACATCAGTGTTCCTGCCAACACCAGCCACAGCAGGACCGCTGAAGGCCTCTACCAGGTCACCAGTGTTCTGTACCTAAAGCCTCAACCTGGCATAAATTTCAGCTGCATGTTCTGGAATGCTAACATGAAGGAACTTACTTCAGCCATCATTGACCCTCAAGGTAAACACTGCCTTCACTTCCTACCTCTATCGATCAGAGTTCAGGGAAGAAACAGATGTCACCCTCAAATGAATCATTTGAGGTGAATATAATAAAGGGACTGTTTATGGAGGTGTGGTAGAATCCAGAGGACTCACAAGGATAGTGCAGGACATGGATCTTCAATATTGGAGGAGTAGTTACCATTGTTGGAAAGGCTACTGGAACCAGAAAAGAAACTCTTTTTCTTCTATTGTCCAGCTTCCTACAAGAAAATAGACTGGTATCCTGTGGGAGAAGGCAGCTGTGGGAATAGCACCACTTGGGAGCTGTGACCTTCAAAAGAGGGAGGCTACCTCCTAGAGCAGCTCTGAAGGGTAGAAGTTGGGTGAATGATACTCCAATCTCACTTTCCTCCTACCTTCTCCTTCTGGTGCCTCCCATTGACTGAACCCAACTAGAAGTCAGAGAACAAAGGAGTCCACTGATGCCTTTCATAAAGGAAAACATTCCAGGAAGTTGAAGTGTACAGAATGGATCTGGAAAATATCCATAAGAACAGCTAACCACTGTGACTCATGCATAGTGTCTTTAGTGAGTAGGATGAATATTATTTTGCTGGCTTTACTACCAGTCAGCTGGTTATTGGGTATTTCCAAAAAAAAAATAATAATAATCTGGTCCTTTACAATCCTTTAGAGCCTTGACTGGCTATGCTAGATGTTTTTGGAAGTGGATTACATACTTTTAAATTTTATATACCATCAAATTTTCAAATAATCTGGGTAGACTAACAATTTTTTATTGCAAGCAAGAACCTTTATTTGTCAACTACAATCAATGATCATCTAAAAAAACAATTATTTCATGAGAGAAAGGCAATTTTACCACCAAGCATATGTTTCCTATTACTCCTATATCAAACTACCATAAATTTAGTGGTTTAAGACAACACAAATTTGTGCTGGTTACAAATTTCTGTAAGTCAGAAGTCTAAAATATGTTTCACTGGGTTAAATCAAGATGTTGGCAGGACTATTGAAGTTTCAGGGGCTATTCCATTTTCTTGCCTTTTCTAGCTTCTGTAGGCCACCAGCATTCCCTGGCTGGTGACCAACACCTTCCTCCATCTTCAAAGTCAGCAGCTTTATCTCTCAGCTCTCTGCTTCTGTTATTGCATCTCTTTTCTCTGACTCCCTTTGCCTAATACCTTTGAAGTACGCATGTGATTGTATTAAGTGCTCCATCCTGGATAATTTAGGATAATCTTCCCATCTCACGGTCCTTAATGTAATCCAGCCGCAAAACTCCTTTTGCCACATAAGGTAACATATGCACAGGTTTCAGGGTTTAGGACATGAATCTTTTTGGGAAAAGCCATTATTCTGCCTACCCTACCATTAGAGGATATAATCTCAGAACAAAGGATACGCTCTAGCACTGATTAAATCTGATTTTATAGAAAATTTATTGTTGTCATCATTTTTGTCTTAGTTAGACAAGACAGACCCTATGATAAGGATTTGTGTGATATGCAGGCATTTAGGTGGTTACCCCAGGGAACAGAAATGAAAGGTTTAGGAGAGCAAGGCTGGAAAAAGGAAAAGTACATATAAGAATTCATTATCAAAGCTGTTGTATTAAAAATAGAATATGAATTTGAGCATCAGAGGTATCTTCTCTAATTCCAAATTAAACGATATTTTTTCATGAATTGCCACCTGGTCACAGGCTGAATAAAAACTCTAAAGCAACTAAATTCCTATTTTATCATTACTTTTTAAATGTTTTCTCTTTTCTAAGGTACCATTTGAACTCATTTGTGTTTGCTAGGTAGGCATTCTACCACTTGAGCCATAACCTCCAGACTATTTTTCTCTGGTTATTTTGGAGATAGGAAAGTTCTCACCTGGACTGAGATTCTTTTCTACACTTCCCACCATAGCTGGGATAACAGGCATTTGCCACCATGCCCAGTTTTTTTCTTTTGAGATGGGATATCACAAATTTTTCTGCCCTGCCTGGCCTGGACCCAAGATCCTCCTGATCTTAGCCTCCTGTGTAGCTTGGGATGACAGACACATGCTACCATGCCCAGCTATTGGTGGAGATGGGGTCTTGCTAACTTTTTGCCTGGGCTGGCCTTGATTCTCCTGATCTCCACCTCCAAAGTAGCTACTATGATAAGCGTGACCCCAGAATCCTAATATTTTTCTCCTAGAAAAAAAATTCCTCCCTGATATAGTTTTCAGAGATAAAGCAGTATTTTCATGCCTCTCCCCTCCTCACTTCCCCAGCTACCCATACTTCACTACCCAATCCCAACACTAAAGTTAGCCTGGCTTCTTTCTAACTAAATTATGGTGAAGTAAGGAAGTAAAGGGAGGAGTCATGCTAAGGACTCGGCAGAAATAAAGATGTTAGACGTACACCAATTTTAGGTCCAACTTTGGATGAAATCATGAATTAGGCAAACTGGTCCTTCAACATTCTCTATCTCTCTTTAAATCACAGTTAAGACCACTAGTCTTAATATCTCAAAAAAAAAAAAAAAGAAAGAAAGAAAGAAAGAAAGCTATAACTAATTCAAAGTAAAGCTATAGAGGCCTAAACATTAGTATTCCCAGGAGACTACTTTTCCCTGGAATTATTACTCAACTATCCTTGATTATTTGGAATTTCCTGCCTTGCTAAGTGTAGGCCAGTGATTTGGGTTAAATGTGTTTTCTAGAAGGACACTTACATAAGGACCTCTGCAGAAAAACAGGGCCCTGCATAAGAGGAATTTGGAAGTAACTAGGGTCCACCGTTTGCACCTGATTACATCAGTATTTTGGTTTATTTGCTTGTTTGTTTGTTTTATTGCATGGTAGAGAAGTGCAAAGGCAGACTGACCATGCCTCTGGAAGCCTTTATGCTGTGAGAGGTTAAGAATAGAGGAAAAAAGCTGCCCTCTCCACAAGAGCCAATATGGCTGACCAAATTGTCAACAATTTTGGGAGAGGTCTGTGGAGTCTGCATCAGAGTTCAGGGCCTCTTAGGGTATCACTCATGAATATAACTAGTATGGAGATAGTAAAAATGCTCAACCTGGTGTTACCCATGCTCCCCAGCTTTGTATTTATTCATTCAACTATTCTCCAGCATGGATCCTCTGTTATGTGCCCCTTCTTCAACACGTATTCTCTGAACTTACTCCCACCTTTCCCACCTCTATGCTTTCTTTGTGTTATGAATTTCTTCCACATAAAATACCATTATTCTCCCATCTCTTCTAGCCCCAGGCCCATCCTTTCTTCAAGGAAGCTCATGCAACTCCAGATTACAGAGGAGTCTTTTCCTAATCTGGCCTCTTTAAACCTTTTACAGCTATACCTGTAACTGTATTTGTCTTTTCTCTTTTAATGCTTCTTTACTTATCTTTCATGTGCTTTTTTTTCATGGTTCACAAAAGTCTTCTTCATATCCAGACTAAATCAAAAGCAGAGTGTTTTGCACATAATAGGTGCTCAGTAAATGGTGAACTAATGGGTTGAAGACTCTTTGATAATCCCAGTCCTGACATTGCAGCCACCAGACCATGTGGTGGTCAGAGCAGAGCAGTCAAATGATGTCCTGGTTTGTGGCACAAATACCAGCATCAAAATAACCAAAGTCACACATCCTCCCACGGGTTCCTTGCTTCTGTTTCTCAAAGGCGTTTTCAAGTTGTCTTCTGACTATTCCCCTTCTCCTCATTCTCATAAATTGAGCTGCTCACTGCTGACTGCTGTGAACTGTGAGCTTCTCCAGAAGTCAGTGAAGAAAATGAACACAGAAATAAGAGTGCGCGTGGGTGCACACATGACCATAGAATGAAAAACTGAATATCCTAACTGTCAGTCAGAACTGAGGGAACACCAGATCATTTTCCTTTAGAACCAGGGTTTCTTGTGATCAGCCAGTTCCCACATTTCCCTTAGGAAATACAACTGTACTGTAGTACAGGAAATAACTATACAAAAAGGCAGAAAAGAGAAGCCCTGAGGGACAGCAGGAGGTGACTGCATGCAGTGATCAAGAACATGGCTCTGAAATGAGACGGACTTGAATTTCACATGCTCTTTCTGCTACCTACCGGCTTTGAGAACTTGAAGCATACTACTTAGCCTCCCTGGAACTCAGCCACTCTGGTATAGAATGATTATAAATAGTGGTGGATTTCTCAAAATGTTATTGTGATGATTAAATGAAATATGCTTATAAAAGACTTAGCATTTGCAAATGGTAGAAACAGGAAAAAATATATCACCTCTCACAAGATGCCTGGCTTCCTTGTGAGTGCATGGAACTATGGGAAAGATATGACAGACATTTTTCTCACTGAATCATCATATCATTGTAAAAGAACATGAAATTATTATAAAACAGTTTGGAAGAATATGTATTAGGATATAGGCTATGCTGCCATAATGGTAAGAGTCAAAATATGGTGACTTAAACAAAGCTAAAGTTTATTTCTCACTATGTAATAGTCAGAGATAGAAGATAGCTCAAAGCAGCTTAAAAACTATATTCCATAAAGTCATTCAATGATCTAGGTTATTTCTATCTTGTTGTTCAGCCATTCTCCAGAATGTTGTCCCTATTGAATGGCCAAAGTGGATCAGTGCTAAATTCATGTTTCTTTCCTCAGAAAAGAAAAAGTGATAGAAGACACCAATGTTTTAAGTCCAGGATCTAGAAGATTGATTCCTCTTTGCCTGAACTTAGTTTACATGATGGGCCACAACTAACTGTGGGGGAAGGGGGTTGGAAATGCAGCCTCTGAGAAGCCATGGGTCCAACTAATATTCTAATACTAGGGGGAAAAGGAAAATTGATTTAAGAGATAACCATCAGCTTTCACAAGGTAACTATTTACTATAGGAGGATCAACTAGGTAGACTAGAAGGATACTCAATTCACTCCAACAATCTTCATTGCCATCTTTCATGTAGTGGTGTTAGGTTCCATAGAGGATTCACAGGTGACTTAGATAAGGTATTTATGCTCCAAATGCTTGTACTCTAAGGAGACTAATATTCTGTTGGATGTTCAACTTTGGAAGTCTTTAGAGATGAGTAGAGCAACTGCATGTGAAAGGGACTAAGAGGAAATGTGCACAGAACAAAGGTTTCCCCAAAGACACTAGGGCAGGGACCCTTCCCATTGTGGGGACAATGGGAGGCCCAGTCTCCTGGCTCACAGTGCTGCATGCACCAAGTGTGCTTAATAAGCACTTTCTAGAGGTGAAGAAGCAGACTGGAATCCATATGAGTTGTCCAATGTTGCCTATCCAAACAGGCTCCTTCTCCTTTTCTTCTTTAATGTTCACCATACTCTTTTGGATGGAGGCAATACCTGTAGGGCCTGAGCTCTGAGTCAGGTTTGCAATCCCAGCTCTGTCAATTACTTGGAAGTGATGCCCATAGATGCATTATGTAGCATCTCTGAGACTTCCTCTACTCTAAAATGAGGGGCTTGGAACTGAATGATGCAAATTCCTTCTCAGCTAAGACAATCCGTGGTTTTCAGATGGCACTGTGGTGGGAGGAGGGAGGAGGGCAATAGATGTCAGGACTGAGCCCTTCCTCCTGAGCAGTTTTGCCCAATTTTTCCTGGACCAGCATGTTGTGTTTATTCTGGATGAGTTACTCCATGAAGCAAAACTCTAGCTTTTAAAAAGGGAACAGCCTAGAATGGGTGTCTTCTCCTCTCTCTATTCTGAACACCCCTGCAATACAGCCCTGCCCTTTGTCAGTTTGGCCCCTTGCTCAGACCTGTGTATACTCAGAGCTCTCCTTTCCAAGCATTTCCCAGCCTCCAAAATTGCTCTTTTCACCTACCTCTTCACTAAATGGTGGTTTTTCTCAGTGCCAGGACCTTGATTAGTCTAAACAAGATATAGGGCCAGTTGTAGTAATTCATACCAAGGCATGAGTGACCAAATTAAGCATATTACCACTGCCTGGAACATTCTAATTTTTCAAAAGGACTTTGTTAATCCTTAAAATTGAATAACTAATGGTATAAATGCTAAGTGCTTGAGTGGTTGCCAGTAAGAAAAAGGGAGAGATTTTTGGGCTGATGGACTTACCCACTGGAAAGAAGGGAAGAAAGTGATGATGGAAAGGAGAGGGGAAGAGAGAGGAAAAAGATGGAGAAAGAGGAAAATGATTGATAGCTGACTGAATAATAGATGATAACATACCAGAGTGGCAAAAAGCCTTGAATATGTACCCAGACAGCCTGGATTGTATCTCAGTGTCTAACTTTAGGAAAGTTGTCTGTGCCTGACTCTCTTCACCAGTAAAATGGGAATTGTGGAAGAGCCCACCTCACAGGGTGGTTGTGAAGGGAAATGAGCTAAAATGTGCAGAGCACTAGCAGTGCTTGGAGTGGAGTAAATGGTTAAAACAATGGCCTTGTGGTGGAAACCCACTCATGTGGCTGCCTCTGAGCAGCTGTGTAATGGAGTCCGGTTCTTTCCTTCACCCAGGTCAGATGGAATCTGAGGTCCCTACAACTTCGCTGCTTCACATTTTCATCCCTTCCTGCATCATTGCTTTAATTTTCATAGCCACGATGATAGCCCTGAGAAAGCGGCTCTACCAAAAGCTGTTTTCTAGAAAAGGTAAGTGAGTTTTATTCACAGTAACCAAATGGACTGGGAGTCTACAGAGTGAGCCTTAGCTTTGCACTGCAGCCTACAGCTTCCCAGTTTCACACAAACACTACTCGTGGCTCATGAACCACTTGGAGCTTATCAGGATTTTTTCTACAGCTACACTTCAGTGAGGTGAACTTCTTACACTGAGCTTTCTAAAGAGAATGTTTTGTTCCTGTGGTTGAAATAGTTTGCCTTGTTCTTTACGCCAACAACTCTCATCAACCTCCTAAGAGTATGTCTTCTTGGAGATGCAGACAGCTATGCGGTCAGAGTTTGCTAGTGAGATTGTCAGGAGCCTTTAAGATCCTTTCCATTTGGACATGAGCCAGGTTAAGTGTACCCCCAATTTCCCAGGAATCTTAGTCCCCTGTTTGAATGAGGAAAGGGGAAAGTTTGGGAAGCCATCTGGAGATGGGGAGGTCTGGGCAACTCCCCCAGTCCCCAGCACCTCCTAAGTTCTCACCAACCACTCCTATTTGCTGAGCCAGCTGGTTCAGAGCACATCTCACTGCTGCATGAGTCCTAAACAAAGCATTTGGTCGCTTCTGTGTCTGCCCTCGGTTTCCTGGGAGGAGCCTGGCTGCAAAACCCCCACGATGTATGCAGGACTGTGTGGTGCTTTCCTCAACTGTCACTTTATCAGCATCCAGTGAACTTCTCCCAAGATTTATGCTGGTCTTGTCTGCAGAAAAGGAAATGACATCTGTGACTAATTCAGTAGGAGTTTGAGTGAGGGGAAGAGGGAAGGTTTTTGGTGGTTGTTGTCCTGCATTTATAGTCATAACTTATATTCTCGTCTGCCATGAAATATTGTCATACTTCAGTTGTCCATTGCCTTTTATTGCATTAGCTTGAGGTAACCACAAAACCCTCTAACTATAGAATTCAAGGAACTGTTGTCAAAAGACAGAGTGGGGGAGAGGAAGGGAAAAGAGAAGGGAGAGGAAGAAGAGCAAGAAAGAAGAGGGAGGGAGGGAGGAAAGAAGAAGAAAGAAGAAGCAGAGAGAGGGAGAGAGAGAAAAAGACAAATAATAAAAATATGGGCCCAGAACATCAAGGTAAAGAAGGAGGAATTATAGGGCTTGTTAACAGAAGTTTGACTTTTAAATAAAATCTTATCTGCAAATCCATGACTTCAGAGGGCTGTCAGATGTCACTCACTAAGAACTTATTTTCTGCCATTTTTCTTTTAACTTCCACACACATATGTCTTATGAACAAGTTTCCAGACCTAGAACCTGGGGACTCCTTAGTCACTTCAGAAATGAGCAGCAAAGCTGGATGCAGTGACTCACATCTGTAATACTAGCTAATCAGGAAGCAGAGATCAGGAGGATTGTGGTTCAAGGCCAGGGCAAAACTTTAGCAATACCCCATTTCAACCAATAAAAGCTAGATGTGGTACCACACCTGCAGGAAATGTAAATAGGAAGATCGCCATCCAGGCAAGCTTGGGCATAAATGCTAGACTATATTGGGAAAAGAGCTAAAGCAAAAATGGTGTGGTTCAAGGGCTAGAGCACCTGCCTAGCAAGCACAAGACCCTAAGTTCAAATCCTAGCACCACTGAAAACAAATAGAAAAGAAACAAGCAGCCAAATCTTCTGTTCTGACTCTTTCAGAGAATGAAATAGAGTCACATTCAAAAAGCAGAAAAAATTCTCCCTCATATCTCCCCTGATCTCCAGAATGAATGAGAATATCAGTAGCTTAGATCTGAGGTTCAGGTTCAGGTTCAGGTTCAACTATGCATAGAAAAGCTTTTTCTAATAAGAGTTAAGTGAATAAATTTGTTAACATTCCTGGGTTTTTGTTTTTAATGACCCACGGGGAAATCATGGTTGTCCATATAATAACCTCCCTCTCTGAGTCACTTACCTTTGGATCTGCTTTCTTGCATGGGAGATACAAACATACTTCTTTGCCATGGACACAATCTTGAGTGCCACAGAAAAGGGCTGAGAGCTGGTATTTTGGACAGAGCTTCAAACCAGGGTCAGAAGGCAAGGTCTGGACCTGAGCTTGCTATTTATTTGGTTCTAATTTGCTATTTATTTGGTACAAATCACTCAACCTCTTTGAAATATTTTTAATTAGTGTATATTGATTGGGCAAAATAACGAGATTCATAATGACATTTTTATGCATGTATGTAATGTACTTTGATCGTAGCCAACCCCATTACTTTCTCTTGTCTTCCTACCCTCTCCCACTGGCCCCTTCCTCATCCCAAATAATCCACTTTCTTCTTTCATGTCTTAAAAAATCTGGATTCTGCATTTGAGAGAAAATATATGATATTTGTCTTTCTGAATCTGGCTTATTTCATTTAACATGATGAGTTCTAGTTCTATCCATTTTCCTGCAAACAACATGATTTCATTCTTTTTTTTATTCTTCAAGGCAAAGCTCAGTATGTAGTTCAGGCTGTCTTCAAACTCAGTATGTAGCTCAGCCTGGCTTCAAACTCTCAGTGTCTTGCCTTAGCCTCCCAAATGCTAGGACAGGCTTGTACCACCACACCCAGCTTATATCTCATTCTTCTTTATGGCTGAATAAAACTCCGTTATGTACACATATTGCATTTTCTTTAACAACTGATCCATTGACAGGTACCTAGACTGATTCCATGACTTGACTCTTGTGCATAGTGCCATGACAAACATGGGTGTGCAGGTATTGAGATGGTTTTTCTATGTGTAAATGGGAAGCAGCAAGAAAACCAGGTATTGAGATGGTTTTTCTATGTGTAAATGGGAAGCAGCAAGAAAACAAGCATTTTACACCTTATCCACCCACGGCCATTCTGGTCCAACCTGAGCTACAGCAGACTCCTAACCAGTTTCCTTGCATCAGGCCTGACACCTCCTACATGGTCTGTTCTCACCTTTAGCTAGAACAGGTTTTATTTTATTTTATTTTTATTTTATCATTTTTCCATTTACTTACATATGTTGTAAGTAATGCTCTTCCCCATTTTCGGGCAGAACCTTTTCAGCCCTCTTGCTCTCTAATTTTGTTGAAGAGAAAGCATAGGAGATAATAAGAAAGACATAGCATTTTTGCTAGATTGCAATAAAGATAGCTATACAGGGAGATTCCTAGTGTTGCTTCCATGCACATGTGTATTGCAACCCACATTGGTTCATCTCTACCAGACCTTTTCACCACTTCCTGGTCCCCATCACATAGTGGCCTCTGCCAGTTTAAGATTACTTTATTTGAAAGGAAATGCAAATTAAAAGCACACTAAGATTCCACCTCACCCCTGTTAGAACAGCCATCATTAGCAACACCACCACCAACAGGTGCTGGCGAGGATGCGGGGAAAAAGGAACCCTCTTACACTGTTGGTGGGAATGTAAACTAGTACAACCACTCTGGAAAAAAATTTGGAGGCTACTTAAAAAGCTACACATTGATCTACCATTTGATCCAGTAATACCACTCTTGGGGATATACCCAAAAGACTGTGACACAGGTTACTCCAGAGGCACCTGCACACCCATGTTTATTGCGGCACTATTCACAATAGCCAAGCTATGGAAACAACCAAGATGCCCCACCACTGATGAATGGATTAAGAAAATGTGGTATCTATACACAATGGAATTTTATGCAGCCATGAAGAAGAATGAAATGTTATCATTTGCTGGTAAATGGATGGAATTGGAGAACATCATTCTGAGTGAGGTTAGCCTGGCCCATAAGACCAAAAATCATATGTTCTCCCTCATATGCGGACATTAGATCAAGGGCAAACACAACAAGGGGATTGGACTTTGAGCACATGATAAAAGCAAGAGCACACAAGGGAGGTGTGAGGATAGGTAAGACACCTAAAAAATTAGCTAGCATTTGTTGCACTTAAGCAGAGAAACTAAAGCAGATACCTTAAAAGCAACTGAGGCCAATAGGAAAAGGGGACCAGGAACTAGAGAAAAGGTTAGATCAAAAAGAATTAACCTAGAAGGTGACACACACGCACAGGAAATTAATGTGAGTCAACTCCCTGTACAGCTATCCTTATCTCAACCAGCAAAAACCCTTGTTCCTTCCTATTATTGCTTATATTCTCTCTTCAACAAAATTAGAGATAAGGGCAAAATAGTTTCTGCTAGGTATTGAGGGGGTGGGGGGCAGAGGGAGGGGGTGGAGTGGGTGGTAAGGGAGGGGGTGGGGGCAGAGGGGAGAAATGACCCAAGCCTTGTATGCACATATGAATAATAAAACAATAAAAAAAAAGATTACTTTATTTGCTCCTCTATGTGAGCACATCAACCATATTCAGGTTTTAGGTTTCCTTTCCTTTCCCTATTTCTCCCATGCGCCCTCTCCCCTTAGTGTGTGACCCATGTCCAATAACATTACTGCATTTTTTTGGGTCTATAATCTGCATATGAGGGAAAATGTGTGATTTTTGGCCTTCTGAGCCTGGCTAACTTCACTTAAGATGATGTTCTCCAGTTCCATCCATTTACTTGTGAATGACAAAATTTCATTCTTCTTTGTGGCTAAGTAAAATGCCACATTTTCTTTATCCATTCATCAGTAGTGGAGCATCTGGCTGTTTCCATAGTTTGACTATTGTAAATACTGCTGCAATAAACATGGGTGTGCAGGTGATTTTGTAATAACTTGAGTCACATTCCTTCGGGTATATCCCTAGGAGTGGGATTGCTGGGTCATAAGGCAGATCTTTGTTTAGTTTTTTTAAGAAGCCTCTATGTTATTTCCCAAAGTGGTTGCACTAGCTTACATTCCCACCAGCAGTGTATGAGGGTTCCTTTTTCCCCACATCCTCAACAACATTTGTTAGCGGTGGTGTTCTTGCTGTTAGCCATTCTACAGGGGTGAGGTAGAATCTTAGTGTGGTTTTGATTTGCATTTCCTCTATGGCCAGGGATAGTGAGCATTTTTTCATGTGGTTTTTTTTTTTTTTTTTTTGCCATTTGGATTTCTTC